CAGGTGAGCTCATCAACCTTGCCATGTACTGTGAGAGGATAAGGAGGAAATTCTGGCCTGAGTGGCACCATGATGATGACAACACCATCTATGAGTCCGAGGAGAGCAGCGAAGGGAGCAAAACCCACACGCCCCTGCTGGATTTCAGCTTTTACTCAAGGACAGAGACCTTTGAAGATGAGGGAGCAGAGAACAGTTTTTCCAGAACCCCAGACACGGATTTCACCGGACACTCGCTCTTTGATTCTGACGTGGACATGGAGGACTACACAGACCACGAACAGTGCAAGTGACGTTCAGCCTCGCTGACCCTCTTCTGCCAGAGTGGCCACTCCCTGGGGTTGGTCCGATTTCCCAGGTGGAAATCCATCTGAGCTGGGAGGAGATCTTCGTGCTCGACACAGTTCTCACGAGCTAACTGGACGATAGCAGCCTTATTTCTTTTTGTACAAACGAGACACAGAACCATTCGGATGGCTCCATTTAAAACAAACAGGCAAAAAGGAAAAAAAAAAAAGTCAGCATGGTTCCTGAAATCCATTTTTGTTTTCATTAGAAAACTAACACTGTGTGGCAGAGCAGGGGCAAGAGCAGATTGTCTGCGGATTGTGTCTATGTAGATCGTCTTCAACCCGAGGGCTTATTTGTGAGCTGGATTCTCGAACGTCCTTCACCCACCAGGGTTCCAAGTAATGAGAGAAATCATCGGGGGAAATGTCCAGGAGACAAATATCCTATGGTGGCTGCTTGTATTTTATGTGTGTATATTGTATGTTGAGATAATTCAAATAAAAATCCATAGATATTCAGTGAACACCTACTATGTGCAAAGCACTGTGCTAGGTGCTAATCAGTATAAGATTTATTCTCAGTCCTGCCAGTGACTAGCTGTGTGATTTCGGGCGAGTCCCTTAATTCTTGTGTGCCTCATTCCCCCACCTGTAAGGTGGGGATAACGATACTCTCCACCTACCTACCTCACAGGGGTGTTGTGAGGATTCATGTGGTAGCACCTCTTGGAAGAGGTGTGACATAAACACAACATTTTATTCTTTATTGTGCTTCCTGCGTATGAACATTTGAGGGCAGAGGAATTCCATATCCAGCCAACAGCAGCCACAGTCACTCGCCAAAGCCGAGCAGACGAAAACACACGCAAAGGCGCAGTTAGGATTCTGTCACCATTCTTCTTTGTGATCTTGCCTGAATGGAAATCTTTTACTGAAAGACGTTTGAAAATGCTTTCACAGAGCATCGACAGCTACACACAGTCTTCAGTTCTGTGTATTTGCAGACGTCTTTCTTCCGTTGCCTGACCGCACGCTGGAATGTTGTCCTTTGTAGACTCCCGAGTGTTAAGTTGCCTGTGTTTGATTTATTTGAAGGGAATAAAGCTCAGGAATATGATGGGTTTTGTAGAGGTGAAGGGGAAAGGATTTGACTGATTTTTCTAAGCAGATGCTTGCCAACGTGTAATGTCTTTTTGAAAACAAACCTTGCAAGACGTATCGAAAAGATGAAGTCTGAAGAGGATCACGTGACAGGTATCAAAGCACTTTGTGCAGTGTAGACTCTATGCAGTTTTACTAATGCAACTTTTCTGGCGTTCTCAGCCATTGCCCCATGAGAGGAAGGCAATGCTGGGGACAAATCTTAATGTTTCTTAAGGATCTCCCGTAGCTGCCCTGTGCTCCCTCTCTGTCCCTGTAGAGCACATGGACCCTTGGGGTTACTGTATTTACTAAAGCGCTCTATCTCTGAAGACATCCTTTTTGTTGACTTAGAACATTTTCCAGTGAAATATGGGGTGAAGATGCTGGGGTGACGGCCATGGATTTGGGCTAGGAGAGTCGGTGTTACGATTTACAACCGCAAGCACAGCTGCTTTGCTTCTGATCTCAACGGACTCACTGGGTAATGGTTATTCATGGTGGGGCCAAAGAGGCATTTTTCAAAAGAGACAGCAATTTCTCCTGAGAAGTTCGTGTATTTGCTTGAAAAAGACTCTCTTTGAATATGGCTTTTGCAAAACAATCCTAAAATGCTGCGGATTCACAAAGAGGTAAAGGGGGAGAATTACTGAGGCTGTTTACCATTGGAGCCACAGTGTAGGACCTGTGTAACTGGGGACAGATGCTGAGATACCCTCAGTTAGAGATTCTCATTGCACAGGAAACTCAGTCGTTAGTTTCTTATTAAAAGCATTCATCTTTGAGAGGACCGTTTGGTGCCTGATGAAAATGTGGGGGAGAAGATATGAATGGATGAGCGTGTCGTATCTCCAGCGACACTTGGGAGGACTCTTCACCTCGCCTGTCTCTAACACGTGTGTTCCAAGGTCAGCTGGTGGTAGTTCTGTGTGACTAGGGAAACTTCTGGCTTGCAAATGTGAATGTAATAACCAGCTAGGCTGTGGACCCGGCCGCACAAAGACCAAGTTGACCTATCCCCATCCATAGCTGGAAAAAGTTGTGTTTGCAATCTTGCCTGCAATTTATTCTCACTGTATAGCACAAAGCGTGTTGTGTCTTCGCGTCAAGAATGATTTAAGTTATGGCTGTGCAGAGTCACACATCGTTTTACTGTGCATTGCTTGCAGGGCAAGTACATAGAGAGCCAGTGTTCATCGTGAAGTTGTAAAATAAGTCATTCTTTCCAGGTGCCTCTCACAGAGGCTTGAATGGACATTACCACTTGGAGTCTTGGGTACTAGCCTGCCAGCTCATGACTGGGCACTCAACATTCCGAAGGTGTAACTTGATTTGGAACCCTGGAATATACCCAGGTTTTACCTTCCCAATGTGGGTTATGGAAACAAAACGATCAAGACAAAATCACTGTCGTGTGGATGACCTAGGTAGTCTTTATTGGAAGGGCTTTAATTTTACCTGGTTTGTTCCTAAGTTCCCCAGATTTGAAGTGTTCTCCAATATGGTGAACAGGTGCTACTTAAAAGAAAATATAACAAGAAATTAGGGGACATTTTGGTCATCTGGCTTACTTATTCAAGTTGTGTTTCTTTTTTTCCTGGAAAGTGACTTAAGGAGGTGTGATCTTTAATGTTAACAGATGTTTTTTGGTTGGACAGAAGCCCCACTAGCTGCCCGGTTTTTTTGTTTGTGTGTTTTATTTTTTACCTCTCAGTGTAAAAATAAATTCTGCCCCTCTATCCACTTCCCTTTGCCCCTCATCAGGATTAAGGAGCAGTAGCAGTGTGATTTAATCTGCCTGTGTCAGCTAGGCAGAGGTAAGCTATATTGTCAGAGTTGACCATTTTGTTGTTGTGACATAATGAATTGTGAACAGTGATGCTATTGTTGAGGCCATGAGCTAGCTACCCTGGTGACTGACCACAGACACAAGAACTTGAATCATAGCTGTAGTCTGGCTCTCCAGTGAGCCCGGCCTGTTTATACTGTGGCATTAGGTATTAGGATACGTTTGCTTGAAATAGTTAGAGTTCAAGGAAGGGAAGAGCTAGGAATTTTAGCTTTATGGGTCTTGCCTAGGTTATTTAAGAGAAAACATAAAACCATAAGAATGTATATAGCTGGGTAATGGATTAGTTGTAGAAAGCCCCTTACAAGAGAGCCTCTGAGGTTCTTATTGGCTCCATATCACACGCATATTCATTTGTAGGCAAGACCTGAACTGAAGTCTTTCACCTTGCCTTAGATGGTTCTTGCCGTTACGTTACTTTGACTTTGTTTCTTTTTAAAACCCACATTCCCTGAGAAATCAGTCCATGCTCATGGAACCAGCACATCCCCAGCCTCTCTCAAAGAGTGCTTGGAATCTTCCACTCTTGCTCTCCATGTCTGTTCAGCCCAGTCCAGACCAATTCAAGAATTTACTCTGTGCAAGGCACTGCTAGACTCTGAATGATACCAAGTCACCAAGACTCCATATTCTTTTTTATCTTTTAAAGAATCTATGCCATATTATCACTCCTTGGGTATTTACTGAGCACCTGTCCTGTTCCTGGCCCCGAGATCCACAGGAGATCTAGAGGGTGAACAGAACAGACATGGCACCCTGATTTTAGGGCATCCGCTTTTGCCCAGACTAATGCAATGGCCTCTTCTAAATGCTTGGTCACTTCCCTGATCCATTCCACCCTACACCATTAATTTTTAAAAGAATTTCTGGCCCTGATGGGGTGCCATATTGCCTCAGGATGAGGGTCACTCTCTGGGCCCTGGTATTCTCAGCTCTTCCTTCATCTTGTTTCCTGGGATGTCTCCCAGGGCTTCTCCATATGAGCCATCCAGTGCATCCTGGTTGGTCTCCTTGCCATTGCCTAAACATGCCTCATGTCCCCACTCTGCTTCTGCTTATGCTAGCCTCCCTCCTGAAAACCCTGCCCTTCCTGTCCACTGGCCCAACTCATGCCCACCTCCCAAGGCCCAACTTCATCAGTTCCGCAAGAAGACTTCCCAGCTCATTATAATCTCCCCTTCCTCTAGAAACACAGCACACATCGTTGGCTTCCCTGCTGGCTGCATGGGAAAGGTATGCCTAGAAAGCAGGCCACACACTAGAAAGTAGTGCTTTTAAACTGTTTGCGTCAGGGATTCCTTTGATAATCTAATGAAAGTCCTATACCTTATTACCAGAAAAATACATATATGCAAATACACAAAATTTTACATGTAACTTCGGATTTAGAGACCTGAAATCATCCATGGATTCTTTAGGGGGCTCATGGACCCCAGTGGAAGAAGCCTTCTAAAGAGTCTTTAAAAGCTACTGTTGTTAGTGTTCATTCTTTCTTGCCTTTGACATATGCAGAGAGTAGAAAATTGGTATGGGATGTGCGTGCAAAAGCAATCTCTGTTATTATCCGTGTTGGGTGTGTGTTGAGTGACAGGGAAGGAAGGAAGAAGAGCTGTCTTACGTTAATTGAGAGAATATCTTTGTTTTGACAGGCTTGGCATTTTGAAACTGACAAGGTTTTATTGTTATTGTTCTTGGTTATCTGTTAACCATCCAAAAAGTTGGCTTATCAAAATTAATTCAGGGCCAGGTAAGCTTCATTTCAGGCCTCAAACCCACCACTTCTGCAGGAGTAGGCTTTGGCCTAGGGTTATTAAGGTAGGAGAGAAGAGGCTGGATTTTTCCTTATAGGAAAAAGATCGGCACAGTCAAGTTTTCCTGTATTCATCATTCATTAATTCATTCGTAGGATAACTGTTGAGTGTATTTTCAATAAAAGGATGGTGCCTTTGTTGATAGGTAACTACTCAGGTTCTTCTTTGTCGTCGTCGTCTTCTTCTTCTTCTTCTTTTTGTTT